GATGGATATCAGTGAGGGGAATGCAGAGCCAAAGAGTCAGTCAGAAATCTGTAAAATATTGAGAAAAATCTTCTTGTGTTATTAGTACAGGTGAGTAGAAGAGGTATTTTACTATTGTTGTGCCAAGGAAAAAATAAGATGTATTTATTTAAAGACTTTAATTTTATTTTTTTTTTTAATCAGCAGCTTATTGTGGCAAAGGTCTCAAAATTCATGGCTGCCCTCAGTTGCCACTGGCTGCCCTCAGAGCTGAGGGCACAAAGAAACTCTCAGAATCACATCCTAAATGCTCTACTAATAGCAAATATCTTCTTCAAAGGGCAGCCCAAAGATGTGCTGTGAATTTGCCTGCAGAATGAACCTAGCTGAGGAGAACACAGTTATTTTCAAAGTTTTAATTCTACACAGCAGACCTCTTTTCGATGGAGGATTGTTTATGGTTATACGCCTGCCTGCATTTTTGTGGACTATAGTAAATTTCCAGCTGTGAATTCTTAGTTACTGTTACTTCTTTGTCTCCGGGACAAGGAGACTTATGGATTAACTTTTCTATCTATTGAAGAATCTTACAAAAATTTAAAAAATTTTACACCAGCTTTCTAAAACTATTAACAAAATTGCAGATGCCTTCGAAAATAGTGTACTGTTTGGGATGCAGCCTCCTTAGATCTCAGTCCAAAGAAAGGAGAAAAAAAAAACCCTGTTCAAACAGTAGCACATAAGCATTGTGTGCAATTAAATGCAATCACATGAAAGACTTGAGAACTACTGTAGGGCACCTCATTTTTTTTTTTTTTTTCCTGTAACAAAGGTGAGACCTTGAAATAAGCTTCTAGGACATGAAACAACAACATAGCAGAAAAGGGGCTAGAATAATTGGTAACCAACTGCATATTTTTGTCTTCCTTTCTCCCCCCTCCACTATGATATCTTGGTTTCAGTCTGAAATCTTGATGTTGGGTGTATTTAAAATGGCTGTGGCTATATGCAATCTGAAGGAGGGGAGTAAGATTAAAGAAAACAGTTAACCAAGACCAACACACTTACTTGCAGCTCGAATTTCAGCACTCCTTGTCCTGCAAACCTAACATTAAGCCTCTGAAGTGGAGAGCATTGAAGACCTCCAAGGAACTACACGCTTCACTCATACTCCTAACTTAGGTGCGCCAGCCCATCAGTCTCCCTGTACATTTACTGGCAACAGCCACACGTACCTGTTCAGTCCAGATACGATCCGGATCAGCCTCTACACGTGTCTTTCTCTAGCTACTCTCTGAGGATGGATCTTATCATAGCCATAGGTAATACAAATTCCCTCTTTAGTGGCTAAATTATTGTGCTGCTCACAGTATTTTCCTACTTGTGGACCAGAAATCCATTCTATAGAAAACACGTACCAGAGAGATCAGCACAGGCAGGAAGAAGACAAGCAGATAGAGGCAGTGGGGCATAAGGGAACCAGCTAGATCGGTATGTTGGCCAGTGGTCATAGCACAACAGCTACTCAACCATCAGAAATATTTCCAAATATCACTGAAAGGAGACTTTTAAGGGGGAAAAGTGAGATGAATTTACAACCATTTCAGCGGTCTTCTCCTGTGCATAGAAGGGTCGAACCATAAAGCTGCTCTACCAAAGGAACGTAATTAAAAGGTGTGAATGTAGGTCTGCATATAGGGACAGAGTGAATCTAAAACCAATGACTAGATTAAATGCTCTGTTTTGGGAGTTTCATTTTTGAACTGTTTGCAAGACATCCGCAGGGTGTTTCCAGATGAAGGTTGAATTTTTCAGGTTCTTTGGGGGAGAAGCAGAAGTGAAAAGGAATATTGAAGTAGAACTGTACCTAAAGGAATGAGTCCTCCAGGTCCAAGTGTCCTGACATTGTGTCGCGTGAAGGGAAGCAGGTGGGTGTGGGTAAGAGAGAGACAAATTTGGCAAGAGACAAATCCCCTTGCTTTCTAGCTGATCCTCAGATATTAGAGGGGCTGGGGGAGCTGAACTTATCTGTTAATAGGTTCCACTTACGGCCGTGGCTGTAGGTCCGACCCCAGATGCACGAGCAGCCTGGTGCTGTAGGCCCGGCTGCACCCAGCAGCAGCCGTCGGGTTCTTGAACAGCGCGGGCTAGTGACACCCAACATACAGAGTCTTTGTGATTGCTGGGGGTAAACACACTAAGCTGCAGAACAGCTACAGAGTCTAAAAAGCAATTGCAATTACAATAATAATAATCTCCCGGGGAAAATCACTTGGCGGAGCCGAGGCTGCAGATCTTCCCCAAAGGCGTCCCTGCTGGGGAGGGTGAGGAGAACAGACCTGTCGGTCAGTCCCTACGACTGGTGCCCAATTCTCCTCTCACAAACTGGGTCCAAAAAGTGATGACATTTATACCTTTTTTTGTTACTGATGTGTGAAGTGTGGGGATGGGGCTGTGGGCAGACAATTGTTCCGTGTAATCAGCACAAAAGTCCCTTATCTCCACCTGCATCTGCATATGCAGGGAACAGACAACTGCCATTGGGAGATAGGTGGGAAAATGGGGCAAGCAGCCTCCGCTGCATTCCACCACATTCCTTATCCAGGCGTCTAGTGCACAGACCACCGAATCTTCACCCAGCCCCTGTGACTGCCCTGGCACCAGGTCTTTGTTTGCAGTGTCCAGCTTTTATGATTTGGGCTTGTTTTGTGCTTCCAGCATCTGACACATTGAAATTGGCTGGAGTAGTGAGATTCTTGGTGCCGTACAGATGTTTCTGCTTTTATGGGCTCTCACCTCCTGTGGAATCCATTGTTACCAGCGACATCAGGATCTGCTGCTTCTTGTGCCCACCTAGACTGCATGGTTGCATCATGAAGCTGGGAAACATTTTAGATGAAAGTTGCAAAGATTTTGCAACAGAAGTCTATGGTCCAGGGTGGGTAACACTTACCGAGTTGTTCCACTAGACATCAGCAGTACCATTAATGGCACTGAGCGCTGTACCTGAATGCAGTGTCCACCATGCTGGGCAGCTGACTGATGTTAAATGGGACTTGTATTAGGAAGTCATCAAATCATATTACATGAGCATACATGGAATTTTGTATCGGCGTGATTAAGTAAAATAGTCTGCTTTCAGCTATTCACACTTATGTCACTTAAGTCTCACTTTAAAGTCTTATGGTATGGGTAAAGTAACTTAAACATTGTTGTATTAGTAACATTAAAAAGAAACTGAGACTCTTCCTAGATTGTAGCTTTTAGATTGTAAATAAGAGAAAAAGCATAGCTTTTATATACTCATTGAACAATAGTGAACATTAGTTTGTGATATAAAAGCACTTCCGTTAAACTTTTTGGATTTTTTTTTTTTTTTTTAAAGAAAATTCAGGTCACGCCGGGAAAATTGTGGGAGGAGTGATTGCTGCAGTGGTGCCGTTTGCAGGAGTCTCCCTGGGTCTCTGGGTCTACTTCAAGGTACGTACAATCATTAGGGGATTTATTTTTAAGCATGCTATTAAACTTGACCTTGAATGTTTGACCAAACATAAATTTGATTTTCATTGGTTAAAGCATACAGAAAGGACTGAAAACGTAGGATGATAAATCTCAGCATAAATAAATTGTCCTCATTCTTGCCCGTTTCAGTGTCCAGAGGGGCCTCTTTGTTATATCTGTGCAATAGTATTTTGGTTGTAACAATGTTAATGTGGCCTTCCCTTGGCCAGATGCTTTCCTGTGCTCTAAAAAGATGGAAAAGTTGGTTACCTTTCAAGAATACTTTCTGATAACTTGCTTTAAAAACAACAAAACTGATTAATTTTCTCTCACTTGTGTTTAAGACAAAAAAAGAAAAAAACAAAACCCAAACCATGAAGTCTTTATTAGAGCCAAATTACTATTTCAGTTATATCCAACATCAAAGCTCACCAAAACTTCAGTGTGAAAAACTATGCTAATTGCTTTGCTGAGGAGACTGTTGTAACTGTATAGTCACACATCTCTCCTATTTAGTGGAGTACTGCATCTTCAAGTGGATGCATTTTATTCTTCTGCATTTGTAATAGTCTGTCTCTGTCTGAGAATATCCTGTCTCCTTCCTCTGCATTTGTGGTTGTCATCCTCAAAAACCAAACTTTAGCTATTAGTCCTTAGGGTACCTCTTTCTGTGTCTGACTACAGCCCTGTCTGTGGAGAGATATACCTTCAGACTCCCTGGGCCTTTACATTTTGTCACAGCCTGAATTTGATAAGCTTCAGAGACGTTTTATGATGGCTTACCATGAGATTTGACAAGAACACACCAGAAAGACAACTCTAAAATGATTGAATCTCGGTCATTTTTCATTTTTCTTTCACTTAGAGATTCACTTACATGCTTCTTATTAGTCAATTTTAGTGCTAACATGCTTTAGAGATAATATACTTTTGAGGTGCAGCTAAAGTAAGCTAACTTAAAGAATTTAAGCAAAATTCATTTATCTTGGGACCTGTTAAGACCTTTAACATGTCATAATCAGAGGAAGTGAAACAGTTTACAGGTTAACTCAGCTCCAGTTACATTGACTGAAGACTAGGTTGTATAAACATGCTTTGGCACTCTTATGTGGATGATTATTTTACTCAGCTAATGTGAAAATGGAAAATACTAACTTATCCTTATAGTGAGTGTGTTGTCTTGTTCTGTTTCCACTAGAAAATGGAGTTTACACATCAGTAGTTCTCACAAACATGTTTGTTTTGACTAGAAATGCAGAAGAAGAGGAATCATATGAGCACCTTTACGTACCAGAATGTGATGGTTTAAGATCCCTGTTTTCCATGGTGGGTGGAGATCTGAAATCTAAAGGGAGGAGTATGTGCTACAACTCCACACCATGCGATGGACATGACCTGGAGTAAATGGATAGCTTTAATAACTCAACAGGCACAGATGGGGAACCTCAACCGTCCTGGCCTCATAGAGGTCATCACCGACTGGCCAGAAAGTGCCGACTTTGTGTTGTGGTTTGGGGTAGGGCAGTCCCCAGAACCGTAACAGACGCTCCCTCCCCTCCCCCCACCCCGAAAGGGAAAAGGAATAAGTGAGAGAGAGAGGGAGAGAGACATGTTGATAAGAAAAGAACAGAAAATAGTTTTAATACTACTACTACTAATGATAATAATAAAGTAGGCTATGTACAAATATATACGAATATATAAAGTTAGTCCCGAACCAAATTTCCCCCGATGGCAATACGTCACCGTCACCCCTAGCTGGGGAGAAGCCCCCAGGGAGAGGGTCCCAGGCTGGACTCAGCCACAGAGAGGGACTGCGCACAGGAGCTGGATTCTGGAACTCAGTTCAGGAACACAGGAGTTGAAATCAAAGGCAGGATGGATGAAGTCCTCCTCAGATGCCGTCTACTGCAGCAGCGATACAAGCTCAGCAGTGGCCTTGGTCTGCATATCAATCCCTGGCAGTAACTCTAAACATGAAGCCTTATCACTTTTACAGCCAGATAGTTTATGAAAATGCTGCTAACTCAGACAGAGCAGTTAATTACAGGAACTTTAGCTAAAAAAAGTAAAATCACAGAGCAGAACCAGCTCTATTTACCCCAAACCAGGACACTTCGGGATGCCCCCAGAGAACAGTGGTCCATGCTGAGGAGTCCTCCCCTTATAGTGACCTCCCTGATGGGGAGAAAGCC